GCATTCAACCACAAAGCTGGGCAGTCTAGGCTATCTGGACTTTGGGAAGTTGTGAAATAAATTTCCTCTTCTGCTCTCTGAGTCTCCAGTGCTCTTACATGAAGTGAGGATACACACTTCTCACACACTACTTTATCTGTTTCTCACACACTACTTTATAATCTCACTTATAAAAGAAAAAAATCTTGGGGCTGGAGAGACGGTTCTCTGGTTAATTCTTGCAGAGAATCTGGTTTACTCCCCAGCATCTACATAGTAGCTTACCATCTGTAACTTCAAATGATCCAACACTCGCTAACAAAGTCTCTGAAGGCACAAGGAACTTACAAGTATGGGTGCACTTACAGACATGTAAGTAAAACACTCATACACAAAATAAAATAATCCTAAAATTAAAAAAAAAACCTTTAGGCTGGATATGATGGTACACAACTTTAATACCAGCACTTGGGAAACAGAGACAGACAGGTTTATCTCTGAAAATCGAAACCAGTCCAGTCTACATAGCAAGTTCCAGGTCAGTCAATAGTCATATAGTGTGACCCTGCCTCACAAACAAAAAAACCTAACTAACCAACCAAATAAAACCCCTTTGACAAAAATAAGTATGGCAAAAAATTTTTTTCAAACTTGTATCTGTATAAGAGTTTTACCTATGTGCATATCCGTGCACCACTTTTATGCCTGGTTGTTAAGTCATCATTTCAGCACTGAGAATCAAATCTCAATTCTCTGGAAGAACAGCCAGAGCCCTTAACCACTGAACCATCTCTTCAGCCCATGCAAAAACATTGGTGTTGTTGAGACAGAGTCTCATTATGTAGTTCTGTCTGGCCTGGAACACTATACAAACCAGACTGGTTTCGAACTCATGGAGATCTGCTTGCTTCTGCCTCCTGGGTGCTAGGATTAAAGATACCTTCAGGCTTCGTTATTAATTATTTCAATTATATCCTTTGAACAATTTAACTTCAAAACCCACCTGTCTTAGTCAGGGTTTACTGCTGTGAAGAGACACCATGACCGAGTCAACTCTTATAAAGGACAACATTTAATTGGGGCTGGCATACAGGTTCAGAGTTCAGTCCATTATCATCATGGTGGGATACATGGTGGTGTCCAGACAGACATGGTGCTGAAGGAGCTTAGAATTCTACATCTTGGTCTTCAGGCAGCCAGGACGAGACTGGAATTCCACACTGGGCGGAGCTTAAGCAGAGAAGACTCCAAACCCAACCCCTACATTTACAATCCTCCTTTAACAAGGCCACACCTTCTAATAGTGCCACTCCCTGTGGGCCAACCCTATTCAAACTACCACACCACCAAAATTAGTACAGCTGTTAGGTTGCTCGTGCAGTGCTGGGGGCCAAGACTCCCTTCTGCCTGGGAGCAAATGTCAGCCTGAGTTAAGGAATACTTTATTGCCCTCCTGCCAGGGAAAAATTATTAATCAGATAAGCAACTTGAGCTGAGAAATGTTTAAATTGCCTTCTTGTGAGAAAATATTTAGATAAGTAATTTGGGCTAGGAATTCTTGTGGGCTTAGAGAACTTTGCAATTACGGGATGACCCTGGACCCTGACTGCTAGATGACTCTCCTGCCTGCCTGCCTTTATAACAGAAACCTGAACAATAAAGTTTAAGCACTTGATCAGACATTCAGACTTGTGCTTCTTTGTGTCTCTTGTCCCATCTTTCACCCTCCCCTTCCCTAGGGTCTCATCGAATCCCCACGGGCCAGGGCAGTGCAGGATTCTTTTTAAAAAGCACATACACACACACACACACACACACACACCTTTGGGTGTGCACTCCCTCCCTAGGGTTGGTTCATAGACTCCTGAAACCTTACTGCAGTGTACATTAAGATCTTGGGCAGAAGCCGGGCGGTGGCGGTGCACGCCTTTAATCCCAGCACTTGGGAAGCAGAGGCAGTCGGATTTCTGAGTTCGAGAGTTCGAGGCCAGCCTGGTCTACAGAGTGAGTTCCAGGACAGCCAGGGCTACACAGAGAAACCCTGTCTCGAAAAACCAAAAAAAAAAAAAAAAAGATCCTGGGCAGAGCTCCTGAGGCTTCAATGTGGACATGTGCAAGCACTCTGAGATCCTGCCCTTCCTCTGTAGTCTGCATCCTGGTCAGAGAAAAGCCAAATCTCTCACAGAAACTAGAAATCCTTCTAAGGGCTGGCAGTGGAGAGCTCTTGAATCAGCAGGGCCGATCCAGCCTCTCTCTCTCTCTCTCTCTCTCCCTCTCTCTCTTTCTCTCTCTGTGTGTGTGCGTGCGTGTGTGTGTGCGTGCGTGCATATGTGTGTGTGTGTGTGTCCCTACCAAATGCAGAGACCCTTCTCTTGCCCTAGTGTCATTTAGGGGTCAGGTCAACTGAGGTTTCTGTGATAGCTATTCCTGGTTGTCAACTTGACTACATCTGGAATGAACCACAGCCCAGAAATGGAGAGCGCACCTGTGATCACCTGGGTCATCACATGGCATGACACACTCTTTTGATCCAGATCTTGAGGCATAGTGGTCATGAAAAGCTTAGGCCCAGGAGACCAAGGCAAGCACATCTCTGAATTAAAGGCCAGTCTAGGACATATCAAGTTCCAAATCCAGGCACGGTGGTACACACATTTAATCTGGGCTACACCTTCTGCTGGAGGATGACATAAGGAACTTGGAAGGAAGGCTCACTCTTTACCTGCTTGCACTCTTACTGTAGCAGGATATCTTCTTGCTACATTGTATTTGCAGTGGAGCTCGGTGATTGGGCAGTAGAAGAGGTAAGCGGAGTGAGGAGTTGGGAGGAAAAGGAAGAGGAGGAGGAGAGAGGAAGCAACATGAAGGAAGAACCATGGATCTCTAGCAGTCCCAGGTAGCAATTTCTATCAAAAGGTTCAATATTGGGTAACAATTCTAATTGGTTGGGCATCTTGTGTATTGAGCATTTCCAAATATATAAATCCATTGGATGATCTTTAAGCATTAAGAGTCTTCATTCTACCAGGAACCACGAGCATGGTGGCTATTGTCTGGGGCTTAGCAGAGAACCATCAGGGTGACGGGGTTGGCCCAAGATCCATGCTTTGGGGTATGGCCTCTACAGAGCTGATCGGTGGAACCATGCTGCCATGGTAACATCTTGAGGGGTTCTAGCTAATACAGGAAACCAGATGGCTTCCCATTCACAGTTGCCCTTTGCTGGGTTAATTAGCAAACGGTAAGTCATTACAATAAATTCCCTTAATATATAGAGACATTCCATAAGTTCTGTGACTCTAGAGAACCCTAATACAGTTTCCTTTGGATTCTTAGGCTTACTAATAATAATTTAAAACTGACTCAGAAAGAAGGTCATGAACAATTTTATTAAACTTAGAGGGAGGAAAAAAAGACAGGATAAACAAGCTGAAAAACCTGTGGCCTCCAAAAGGAGATGAGAAAACTGCCTTTTAAGTTGGGCAAGGAGGTGAAAGAAACAGAAAGCACAGACCCTCAGGGAAAACTGTGCCTTAGGCTTAGCCAGTACTAAGGAGATGAGGGAAAGGGAAGCTGAGGCAGTTCAGCAGGACCTTCCTACCAAGCCTCTCACCTGAGATTCCTAGGACCCACGTGGTAGGAAAAAAGTGATTCCTGCAAGTAGTCATCTGACACCACAGAACTCTAAGCAAAGGTTGTTCCAAAAAGTTAAAGCAGGGGCCGGAGAGATGTCTCAGTGTAATGAGCACAGTGAGAAATGCATTTTAGACATGTAAAATTAGCTTAGGAACCCCCACGATACCCAAGGCTGCAGGGTAACCAGAACCCAGGTGACATCGCTCAAGACGATCAGACAGAGTCCTAGAACCCCATGACGCCCACTGGACAGCATGTAAGCAGAGACTAAGAGAAATGCTCCTGTTCTGCACATCTGGAGAGAAGCTGGAGAGTCGACCTTCCGGGATCAAAGACTTCCTTAGAGACTGGGCCTGACCTTCAGTTAAGATACCTAGCACAGGTGAGCAGCGTTGGGGAGACAGGCTTAGGACCACAGTCAGGAATTTAGAGTGTGAACCCTGTGATGACCGTTAGCATAATAAAATATAACTTGTTATACAAACTACACGCTATCTACCTTCTTGTTTGAGACGGTCAGGGATTAAGAATACTTGCTGTTCTGACAAGAGGACCTGGTACAGTTCTCAGTACCCACACTGAATCCCACGATCACTCGTAGCCTCGCACATTGATGTACATTCATACATGCAGGCGAAACACTGACACACACACAAAAAAACAAGTAAATACAAAAATAATAGTAATTCAAAAGGAAAAAGAAAACCATGCTCAATGCTAGTATCCAGGTCTAAGTTCAGAGGGTATTCCTTTCCATCAAATAAAGGGAAAGTACGCCCAGGAATGGGAATGGGTTAGTGAGCTTAGGAGAGGAACCAGAAAGCCACAAAGACACGATGTGTATAGCTGGCTGTTTAATTTCTCGTATGGCACCGGTTTTTCTCTCGAACGCTCGTTCATTAGAAGCCCAGGTGAGGAGTTTCCAGTCTTTCCCGGCAAACGCGCTTGCTCCATGTGTTAATGTGGCTTCCCCACTGGACATTCTGCATCCACTCACCTCCCCTCGACCCCAATCAATGGCGTCCGGACTTGGTGTCCTCGTTAAGATCTTGTGCACTACCAGGATCTTTTATTTTTATTTTTTTGAGTTGGAACTCGAACCAGGGCCTGTTCAGAGATTCCACCACCGAGCCTCACTCAACTCTTCTATGCTTCAAGGAAGGTGGAGACAACGGCCGTGCCCAGGGCTGGTACTAACTGCACCGAAGGAACTAAGGTTACTAAGACCTGGGAGCCAGAAGGGTCGGGATAGCCAAAGAGACCTGGGTACCGGTGCGAGGGGGCGTGAGCAAGCACCCTGGGGGCGGGGCCAAGCGCACGGAGACCTGGGAACTGGGGCGGTGGCCAGGCGCGCGGAACCCTGGGAGCCGAGCGCGCGGAACCCTGGGAACCGGAGGTCGAGCCGTCCACAGACAAGGGATCGGGGGCGGAGCGAGGCGCGGGGAGACATGGGAGCGGGGGGCGGAGCGGCCCAGGGCGCGAGCCTAACGGCTGAAGCCGAAGCGCGGGAGACTCCAGCGGCGAGGCTCCGCCTTGCGTGGGTTTGAACGAAGCTCCGCCCCGCACTCCACCAATCGGCGCTCGTGCGGCGGCGCCATGGCGACCCTTTGTGGGCGCTGACTGTGATCCCGGCGCCCGACGGAGTGGCGGGTCTGCCTTGCGGCGCCGGTAAGTGTGTCGATGGTTTGCTCCTTCGAGTCCTTGCGTCCTGGGCGGCGTCCGCGCAGAGCACCTCCGGGGCGGTCGGGGGTCCGCAGGGTCCCCCTCCTGCGCCGGCCGCCCTTCGGCGCTCACGACGCCGCGGCGTGTTGAGTGACACATACCGAGAGCCGGAGCGGCGGGTCTGAGCTGGCCGTCCCGCCCTCCGCCCACGCTCCCCTGCTTCCGCTCTCTCTTCCTCCTGTGGCCTTTCCTCTCTCCTTTCTCCGCCGTCCCCCCTTCTTTGGTTCAGCCCGCGTCGATCCTCCACCTCTCGGTTCGGGCTGGCCGCCGCTGCTGTGCGTTTCCCCTAAGATCTGCGTGCGGCCCGCAGTTTTGGGAGACTGGACTTTCCCTGGCTTCTAGCAGCGCCGAGCCCCGAGCTTCTGTCTGCTGGCCAGGGACCGATTCCGAGGGGGCTGGGTGGGCTCCGTGCAGCCGCCTGCCTGGTGAGTGTTGGCCTTGCGTTCTTTCCCTTTGTCTCTTGGATTTTAATTCCCTTGAGAAGTGTCTCGTGTTGCCTGCCCTTCCCCTACGGCAGCACACCCCACTTCCTTCTAAAACGATCATTTGTGGATCAGTAGATACTGCCTGGAACGGCATTGCTGGAACTCGACTGGAAGCCGGGCTCTGTCTTCGCTAGCCTGTCCTGAGGCCAAATGGAACTAGAAAAAAAGCTCCAGAAACCTTTTCTAAAGTTTTTCTCTCATAGATAGGGTCACCAGGGAAGGTGCTTCTTCCAGAACTTGAGACAGACATACAGCAGCCGTATATTTTCTCCTGGTCGCCTTTGTATCTTATCTAGGTGGCAGAGCTGAGCTGGTCCTTGATTTAAATGATTCCGGGAAATACTGTCTGCACAAAAAATCAAGTTTGATGTTCCGTCAACCTCCTGCATGCAGCCTTGTGGTTTTATAGATGAACTTAAAAAATGCACTCAGAAATCTCCCCATTTTAGAGGTGCTAGTCTTAAAAGGAAGGAGGTCAGAAAGGTTCCCTCAGGTTGTCGCTGGAACCTACCTCCAGGCATAAGAAAGCCCCACATCCTTCCAAGGGTAACTCTGATAAGGGTTTTTTAGTAACTACTGATAGAAAGTCTGAAGCGGACATAGTGGGACAATAAACTCTATCAAATGGCCATTAAGTTCACTGGCCCAGCATTTTTCCGCCTTGTTCCCTCTTCCCAGTTGCTTTTTGAGCAAGTATTTATGCAGTTGTGATTTTTGTTTTGTTTTTGAGACAGGGTTTCCTACAGGCCAGGCTGGGCTCAGACTGACCAGTGCAACCAGAAGCAACCTTATTCTCTCTCCTCTCTGCTTCCCAAGTACACCACCATGCCTGGCTCAGAAACATGAACTTCTGGTTCTCCTTAAAATCCAGCATCCAGAGGAATGCTTGATTGTGGTTACAGTCCAAGCCGGGGTGCTGATAGGTCTGCTCAGGTAAAACCAAGACTAATGGATGTCAGAGCCCAGGAAGCTGCATTTCCACATGGTCACTGATGAACTGAGGTAGGACAGCTCCAGGATTTGATGGTTGTGGAGTCCTAGGCTGTCTCTTTACCTCAGGTTGTAGGGTAGTTATCACTTTCCCTTCCACCTTACTGTACACTGACCTCAACACTCTCTGAGCGCCCAAGGATGCCTGGCTCTTGTCATTCAGCCAATGCTTGGGGTGGAGAACGTTAAGAGGGCAGAACTGTGGGTTGACTTAGCTTTGGATTGAAGAGATGTTAGACATTACCTAGACGTGGAAAGACCTTTTGGCTGTCTGGAAATAAGGTGTGAGATGTGGAACATAATTTATACAGAACTTAGCAGGGAGAATTTCCTGTCATCTTTCATTGGAAGGTCAAGCACACAGGTGGCCACAAGGAAACTGTGCCCAGGCCCGTATAGGAGGGTCACTGTGCAGGCACTATTTAGGGCTGGACGGAACCAGTGTTGGTGGTGCAGGCCTTCACCCTCAAGTCCCCTCTTTCGTCTTGCTCTCTTGCTACTAGCTACTCTGTCACCATCCTAGTTTTTTATTGGTGCGTGTGTATATATACCTTCTGAGGCCACAGGAGGACCTTGGATCCAAGGAACTGGGGGTATAGGGAGTTTTAAGCCGTCATGTGAGTTCTGGGTATCCAGTCTTTGTCATCTGTAAGTCATCTCTCCAGCCACCTTGTTTAAAAGCTTTAAATGTGAGGATGGTGAACAAGATAGAAAGACAGTGTCTGCTCCTAGCAAGTCAGGGAGGGGATGTTTGTTGGTTAAAGCTCTGCTGTGCAAAGTTGTATATACCCTAAGGAACAGGGGCAGAGAGGAGAGTATTTAATTTTGCAAAGTTAGTAAGTCAGAGGAAGTTTGATAGCAAGTATACATGGTGAGGGCTTATGCTTCTTAGAAAACAATTGTTTGATGTATTTATTAAGATCCTTCAAAATGTTTCTACCCTGAGTCCTGTTATGAATCCAGAAGTTAAGAGTACAGAAATAAAGTACTCTTAACCAGGAGTAGAAAACACTGTCTGTGGCTGGAACATGGCGCTGGCTGCAGACTGCCTGGCCCGTGTGCACGAATGTAGGTCCTCACTATCAGAAGTGAAGATCCACTTCTTAAGTGGCGTGATAAACAGAATGTACTGTGGACTCAGCCCAAGTGAAACCTACTGCTAAGGAAGATGAGGGGGTAGGAACAGGAATTTCTCTCAGTGCTTAGAATTTGTTGAGCCACTCCCCCCAGGGTTTAGGCTTCTCTCTGTCACAGCCCTGGAACTCACTCTGTAGACCAGACTGCCCTTGGACTCACAGAGATCTGCCTGCCTCTGGCTCCTAAGTGCTGGCTTTGTGGAACGTTTTTGGTTTGTGAGTTTTGATTCTCTTCCAGATTGTCTAGTGAGCTGTGGAAATAACCAGCCAAACAAGTGTGAACAGGCGGGGCTGTATATGTAGCAGGGCTTCTGTGGCCAGTTGTTCTCACTGTTAGTAGCTTTGAGGAGAGCTTTGCAGTGGGATGGCTGGGTGGGCTCACTAAGTGATGAGTGTCTCCTATGAGTAACAAATTTACCAAGTATAGAGGTAAAACAGTTAATTATGATTCGGCAGAAACAGATGTCAGCCAGCAAAAATAGCTTCCCAATTTGGCACAAAAAGTGTTTTTTAAAGTCCTTGGTGAAAAATTCTGCCTTTTTGGTTTTCTGAGACAAGAATCTCACTACGTATCCTTAGCAGGCCTGGGTCTTGTATGTAGATCAGGCTACCCTTGAACTGCTAGAAATCCACCTGCCTATAGTGTTGGGATTTAAAGAGTTATACCACCACACCCTACAGTTGTATCCTCTTTTCCCAATATACTGGTTCTCCAGAAAGACAAAATCTTCATACCTCTCTAGCATGGCCTCCTCTCTGGATTCCCCATGCTATTGGTTCAGAGTACAGAACCTCATCTAATGGATATTCCTGGCCTCCAGATTCTCTCTTTCTCTGCTTGTAGACTCAGTCACATAGCAGACTTCAACTTTCCAGCTTTAGGATGAACTAAGAGGGCCTAGAGAAGTAGGGCTGTCTACTACAGAGGGAAACCAGGGACCCAGTGCCTCCTGCTTGTCTGATTCTCCAGTGAGCTTTAAATTTAAAACATCATACAAAATTAGACCATAATTTATTTCCTACATCCTGTGATTGGCTGTGGTAGATATTTGCCTCTTTGGTTAGTTTTGAGATGGCACCAAAGATGCTGTTAACTTTTTATATCCTGGTTATAGGGTGTTTGTTGGGCAGTTACTGATTAGGGTCCTAGAGAGCCTGCTGTTTTCCAGGCTGTTCTTGTAGGTCAGTCTTGGGAGCTAGTCATTGCAGATGATGATCAGAGGCTGATTTCTGGTATCTTCCTCATTTGCTCTACACTTCATTGAGGCAGAGTCTCAGGTGAGTCCACAACTAGCTTGCTCCAGGCATCCACTATCTATACCTAAACTCTGGGGTGGGAGTTGGACCACCACACCTGCGTAGCATTTACATAGGCACCAAAGCTGTGACCTCTGACCCTCGCTCGTTTGTGTGGCAACCATTTAACCTGTTGAGCCATTGGCCCTGGCCTCATGAAATATTCTTTCTGTCAATTAGCTGGCCCCTCTCGGGATATTATTTATACTATCGTCTGTGGTAAGCTCCTTTCCTTCACTATAAGGTAGGTGATCCTGCAGACTCACAAATGGCAGGAATACCAAGAATAAGGAACCAGTGAGTGCCCAGCCCTGAAGCAGTCAACTGTAAACACTCCCTGGCTCCAAGGCCCAGGTATCCTGGAAGCCGGCCAGGAAGAATCAGGATCAAAAGGACTTGACTTTAGCAAGTACGGTCATCAGTCTTAAGCTGAGCAAAATCAGGAAGTCAGGTGACTGGAGCAGGGGGCTCTAAATCCTTTATGGAATAGGTGAGTAGCCTTCTATTGAGTGGAACCAGAGATTGTGACAAGATGCAGAAGACAGAGTTAGGTGGGGTTACCTCTGCAGAGGTCCTGTCTTCCCGTCTCTGTATTTGACCTTGCTTTGGCTCAAGCAGTCCTCCTACCCTTAGCTCTCTTGCCTTTACCTGCCCACCCCCAAGGTACACATGTGCGCGTTAGCGCATAGTGTACACACACAAAGCACCTGAATTGCTTCTGCTAAGAATATTCAAGGTTCTGGTTTTTGAACCAGAGTCTCACCAGTAATCCTGGCTTTCCTGGAACTCACTATGTAGCCCAGGCTGGCCTTTGTTTCCAGGTGCTGGGAGTATAAAGCATGTGCCACTATGGTAGGCAAATTCTTTTTAAACTTGTCTTGGATTTGGAGCTAGAAATGGTTTGGTGGTTAAGAACACTGTTATTCCAGGGAACCTAGTCTTTGTCCAGCACCCACATGGTGACTCACAACCACATGTAACTTGATGTTCATGGTTTCTGACAGCCTATTTTGGCCTCCACAGGCACTGTATGCATATGGTGCAGACAGACACACAGGCAAAATATCTACATACATAAAATCTTTAAAAATAAATAAACTTAGTTTGTATTTGAACGCTTGGTCCCCAGCCGATGGTGCTGCCTGGGAGGCCATGGAGCCTTTAAGGAGCCATGTGAGGCCTTGCTGAAAGTAAAACTGGGGGCACACTTTGAAGTTTTATTTATACCTTGGCCCTACTTTCTCTCTGCTTCCTGTGTGCAGGTGACATGTGATCACCCTGCTTCCTGACTACCAGGTTGGCCTCACCCTTCCACTGCCCGGCCTTCCCTGTCATAATAGACTGAAAGTGTATACCTTCTTTAACTGCAAACCCAAACTAAGTTGTTTTTTGTTAGGACATTCTCTCATAGCAACAGAAAAATACCTAATATGACTGCGTTACAGAAATTTCTTTCTTGGTGGTGGTAGTAGGTGTGTTTAACACGATCTGTGATTAATAGGCTGTGGTCTTGAAATCTTCTGCGTTCATCTCCAGAGTGGAGGAATTAGAAGTGTGTGCCGCTAAGTATAATGAAGATTAGATTTGCTTCTTCATTTTTAAAAAATTAGTTACATGTTTAAAGCCACTTTAGGCTACATTTTCCTCCACTCCTTTCACTTAGGTTGGTGTGGGATGTGTTGGGAACTGGGGACTTGTCTAGGCATGTACTCTCACCTGCGATCTCCTGCCCCCACCCCCTATGGCCTCTGGCGACTGGCTTTTCTCTGGCCCATAATTCCAATGGGAGTCCTGGGTGTTTCAACTGGATGTTTCCAGTTTTGGGCAACTATAAGAATACTATAAACATTTTTGTACAAGTGTTTACATGAATCTTAGCTTTCCTTTCACTGGAACATATACACTAAAGGTCACATAATTATATAAAGATCTGTGACTTCGAAAGAAGAAAAGGTAGCTATAAAGAAATCCTAAAGTTTATGTATTTAGGAGATTCTGTTAAGAACAACTTTGCATTAATTTCAAATGTATTATTTGAAATAAAATGTTTAGGGGCTAGAGAGATGGCTCAGCAACTGAAAGATCTTGTTACACAAGCATAAAGATCAGAGTTTCTGCCTGGCAGTGGTGGCACACGCCTTTAATCCCAGTACTTGGGAGGCAGAGGCAAGCGGATTTCTGAGTTCAAGGCCAGCCTGGTCTACAGAGTGAGTTCCAGGACAGCCAGGGCTACACAGAGAAACCCTGTCTCGAAAAAACAAAAAATTTTTTTTTTTTTTTTTTTTTTTTTTTTTTTTTTTTTTTTTTTTTTTCTCTCTCTCTCTCTCTCTCTCTCTCTCTCTCTTAAATTTTTGTTCTCTTTAAAATACATTTCTGCAGCTGGGTATAGTGGTGTCATCTTTTAATCTCAGCTCTGGAGAGGCTGAGGCAGGAAGCTCATTGTCAGCCTGTGTTACATACATAGCAAGATACTGTCTCAAAGCAGCAACCGTATTTCTTGTTTGTGTTCATTTATCTGTTGATGAAAGTTAGGCTACACCTGAGCTTTGTTGTCTGTGACAGTGGCTATGCCTGAGGCAACTTCTCAGATAGTGTCCCTGGTACTTTGTGTTGTCACCTCTTCTAGCTGTCAGAAACTGTCCTGGGTCCTGTCAGCCAGGAAGCTGAGATATGCTAGCTAAATGGTATCTTTCTTGGTTCCCACAGGACAGGATGTTTGCTAGAGGGCTGAAGAGGAAATATGGTGACCAGGAAGAAGGAGTAGAGGGTTTTGGCACTGTCCCTTCCTATAGCCTGCAGCGACAGTCACTCCTGGACATGTCCCTTGTCAAGCTCCAGCTCTGTCACATGCTAGTGGAGCCCAACCTCTGCCGCTCAGTCCTCATCGCCAACACAGTCCGGCAGATCCAGGAGGAAATGAGCCAGGATGGCGTGTGGCATGGGATGGCGCCCCAGAATGTAGAACGGGCACCAATGGATCGTCTAGTGTCCACAGAGATCCTGTGTCGTACAGTGAGAGGAGCTGAGGAGGAGCACCCCACTTCTGAACTGGAAGATGGTCCCTTGCAAAACTCGGCTTCTGAGCTTCCCATAGTTGTCTCAGCACAGGGGCAAAGGAGCCCTCAGAGCAGCCTCTGGGAGATGGACAACCCTCAAGAAAACCGGGGCAGCTTGCAGAAGTCACTGGACCAGATATTTGAGACCCTGGAGAACAAAAACTCCAGTTCAGTGGAGGAACTCTTCTCAGATGTGGACAGCTCCTACTATGACCTGGACACAGTGCTAACAGGAATGATGAGTGGGACCAAGTCCAGTCTCTGCAATGGCCTTGAGAGCTTTGCTGCAGCCGCCCCTCCTCCCAGCTCCACTTGCAAGTCTGACCTGGCGGAGCTGGACCATGTGGTAGAGATTCTGGTGGAGACCTGAGAGGACACCCCAGTGGGCCAAGGACAAGGCCACCACTCCCCATGGAGCTCACATGTATGTGCTGTGACCCAGAGACAGACAAGCACTTGTCCTAAGAGGGGCTCTGACTCTTCAGCCAGGGTCTCCACCTCTCTGTCTGACTGAAACTATCCTGGACAGATTTTCCTCTGCAAGGACTGCAGGCCTGGAGCTGCCTCAGGGCTAGTTCCCTTGGGAGGACAGAACTGACGCCATCTCAAGGAACTGAGCTCTCTGAGCTTCTGGGTCCTGGGCTCATTATCCTGTTTGTGTGATGCTGGAATCCCTGTGGAGGATGGTGTGCCACAGCTATGTCTAGTCTATTTTAAATTAGATAGGTGAACTTTCTAAAATTAAGTTTTATATGTTTTGGGCAATATTTTGTCTTAAGATATATTTTTTAAACTTTTTATACTTTAGATTTTTTTCAGCTATTTTCTTAAAAGTATATTTTTTCTACAAACATCCTCTGCTGCTACATTAGAAACATTTATAACCTAAATACGATTGGTGTGTGTAATTTTTAAGGCTTAAATATGAAACTTTTTTTTTTGTTAATGAGTCTCTATACTCCCAAGGCAACTGTAAATGTAGCCGGCCAGGTGTTTACATGAGAGGCTCTGTTATGGTCCACATTCTAGTCGAGTTTGAAATGAGAACCATGCACAGTTCCACTGTTCCCTCACTGCATCTGTGCTGTAAGATGGTGTGCAGGATGGTTTTATTTATGCCTATTTATATGTAAATGCCACTGAAGGCTAAGGTCTTGTGTCTGGAAATCACACCACCAGTTAGTTCTTCAGAGACTGCCGTGAGGCAGTGCCTTATGCAGGGCTTGTCCTTGGACGCTACTGTCTGGTTCCCAGCCCGGCACTATGTGACATGAGGATGTGACATCACACCACCACCCAGCACCGCGTGTTCCATGTCAAGTGTATACATGGAGACTGCTGGGTACCAGGCATGTGTGTGCTTAGAAAGGGTATGCAGTTCCCCCCATGTACTCAGTACGAAATACCTGTGTGTGCTTGCTTTTAAAATGGTGCTTGAACATTTTTAAGGTTACAAACAATCTGACTCCATCTAATTTAGGGCTCCTCCGTCCTGGGGTGGCCCTGTGCTGTCTGCTTGGCTCTCAAGGTCCTGGCACCTGATCCTGTGTCAGACCCCACCCTCATTCATGTATACTTTTTGTTTCTCTTGTGCTTTTTTTGGACTCCCCTCCTGAGCCTAAGAGGTTTTATTTTGTATGTGTGTATGACTATTCTTCAATATCCACAATGTAAACCTCACTTATTAAAAGTATCCAGCAAATTGAATGTGTGGGGAGCTTTGTTCCATCTTACTCCTTCAAGTGAGCTTGCTCTATCCTATGTGGTTGCAGTGTTTTCAAGGCTTTGTAATGTAGACGAACTTTTTGTGGTTAACAGGCAAATGGGTTTATTTTCCTGACCTCATGGCTCCCAAGGCAAAATTCCCCCTTACCTTTCAGCCCCTGCTTGCCTTCCCTGGGCCTAAGGGCTCTTGGTAATCTGTAGGGACAGACTGGCTGAGCCCTAGGTCTGTGAACAAGGATCTTAGGGATTTCTCCTTTATCAAAGCTAGTTTAAAGTGCTTTACTACTAAGCCTAGAGCAGGATTTTTCCTTTACATTTTATTTATGCCTGTGTGGAGGTCAAAGGACAACTTTCTCAGTCAGCTTTTCCTTTGAACCCAGGGATGAAACTCGGGTTCAGACAGCAGAACAAGCCCGAAGACTCTAAAGCTAGATTTGCTTGTTTAAAGCATTTCTGCTCCTCTGGTAAAAGTAAGGTCTCTGGAGAATGAGGTGAATCAGTTTTTCGGATGCTCATTTTTAGGAAGTTGCTGGGAGACCTGTGGGGAGCAGCCTGGCCAAGGCCTCTTCACCCTGCTGCATTCAGCTTTCTGCCTGGAGAGGAAATGTGGCCTTTGGAAGGCAGTGAGCTCCAGCTTGTCGTTGTTGAGTTTCCTGGGCACCACCTGCCAGGTTCAACCATACATGTGACATTTTTAGGATAGATATAAATTGGATGGCTGGGATCAGATTTTCCATGTGTTTGCTAATTTTGTTTACAGATGCTTAATTAGGAATGCATTACAAAAATCCCAGAACCTGAGAAGCAGGAGGATTGCCCAAAATAATTTAGGTAATACCAAGCAGGGCCTGTGGAAGGAGCCACTGACTAATATGCCTCTTAAGTAACCATTCGGTCAGTAGCAGACCAGGAACATAGGTGCTCCTAGCAGCCTGCTCTTTCTGTGCAGACGTGGCTGAGTCTCTCAGGTCTGAGCTGTCCCATGCTCAGTACTGTATGTACCTCGTAAAGTACCCCAAATGTGTACAAGATTGGACCTCACAACATTTGAGCAGAGATAGGGTAGGGTCCTGCCCCTTTCTGAAGATCTAATCAAAGTTAAGGGTTGGGGAAGGGGGTACCATCTTCTAGTGGTGTAGCCACTGGTGATGGTCCCCATTCTCCAATAAATAACATTCCATCCACACTTCAGCATGCAACTTAATTAAACTAGGTCACATTTGAAAAAAAAAAAAGACGTGACTAGAAGGTTGGGAAGGAAGTGTTCAGAGGGAGAAGGGGTGTATCACGTGTATATTAAAAGTCCCAAATACATGGTCTGCACCTGCTACCTGCCCTCCGGTTCCCACCTGCCTCCCCCTAGATGATTAGTTGACTTTGAAGTGTTGCCTTACAGGTAGGAAGTTTGTGAAGAGGGGTCTCGTGTTAACTCCTGCATATCTGTGTTGAGGTGAGCAGAACACTGCTAGGTTAAGAACACTTGACTCCCTGGTCTACAGAGTGAGTTCCAGGACAGCCAGGGCTACACAGAGACCCTGTCTCAAAAGAACGATTGACCGTGAGGCACAGCACTCTTATGCTGGCGCCTGCCTTCCTACATGCTCCCATTCTAGGGCTCCGTGTATGTTGCTTTACTGCTGACCCCATCAGTGACAAAGTATGGGACATAAACCAAGGGATGGGGGTCCCTGCTGCCCCTGAGCTAAAGCAAGCCAGATACCTAGAAGACAGTTCCCAGAAGGTTCAGGCTCTGTCAAAGTCCCGCCCTGCCCTTTCAGCTTGGTAAAAGACAAGTCACCATGCTGAACAGGGCAGAAGGTAGGAACAGGAACCAGGGCATGCAGCATCAACACCCAAAGCAAAACTAACAGTTAAGTAAGCCTTGAATCTAAGCTTGCCTCCTGTTTACCCAGAGCCTGGGTGAGGCTGGGGTCCTGGTCCCTGTCTGTGTGTCAAATCCCAGTTCTGGGTGAGGAAGGGGGTGGGGACAAGTATCCCCACTGACCAACTCTGCTGTGAAGGCTCTGAGTGCTTCCAGTGCTGTGCTCTTTGGGGGTGCTGCACTCACTCCAGGCTTGGCTATCCCAGGCAGCTGCGCTCCTGGGCAGCTTCGCCTCTTCTGCAGCAGTTAGGATTCTGAGAGCAGGGTGTATTTCAGAACACCTGCAGGATGCTCTGGCTTGCACTTGCTTATCCTGCCTTAGTAGACAGAAATTGCATGCGCCTATGGCAAATATGATACTTTCAGGTATCTAGGATAGCTATATGGAGCTGGTGGTGACCAAAGGCATTAACTCAATAGTTATTACTTGAGAAATGAGAACACTTAAAATCCTGTCATTTCTGAGAACATACGCGATTTTTAAAGACTTTTTCTGCATAGCCCCAATTTTCCTGGAACTTGCTCTGTAGATGAGGCTGTCCTCAAACTCAGATCTACCTCTGCCTTCCAGTGCTGGGAGTAAAGGCGTGTACCACCATGCCCAGCTTGTGATTCAGTGTGAAGCTACTCCCGGTGTTCTAAGTGACTTGCTGGACTTCCTGATTGTTGACCAGAGGCTGTACCCTTGGCCGACGCCCCCATTTCCACTCGGCCCTGCTGACTGCTGGTCTCTCAGCCTCTAAGAAGTTCACATTTTAAGACTCCGCTGGAAGAGTCACGTGCTTGTCTCTGCACCTGGCTTACCCATCGAAGGACAACCCAGATGACACCATCTTGGACATTGTAAGCCAAGCGGCAATAAACATGGTACTAGTTCCCATTTCCTTTATATAAACCCTTAGCAGTAGGAATTCTGGGTCATGTGGGAGTTGTTTTTAATTTTGTGAACCTTTATAACTGTTTCCCATAATAGTTGTTCTAATTTACATCTCTTCATATTCTTGCCAGCTCATCTTTATTCCAGTAGGAGTCTGGATACTTGACTGCTTAGCTGCATTTCTCTATGGTTACTGATGGCAAGCACGGTTTTCATATGCCTATTGGCCATCTGCATGCTTTGTGAGTAGCATTTTCTTGTTTCTTCTGCGTTAGCCTAACGTGTACACTGCTTCCTTTGCAGACAGAGTACCTCTGTATCTGCAGCCACGGGGAAGCTGCAGCTTCCTCTGCCATGTGCTGGTCAGTCAGTGCTGCTTCAAAAAACAAAGAGTTAAGGCAGCTTTCCTAAACACCTGGCACCCTCAAACCCAAACCCGGTCAAACACCTGCTTCCCCAAAATAAAAACCAATAGGTTATCCTTGTTCTAACCCTGAAACTGTATGCCACCTAGTGGTGGCTGAGTGCAAGGGCCCGAAGGATCAATGGTAGTTCATTCTCCCCTCCTGACAGGAGCAGTTCCAACACTGCATGTGTCCCTCCTGTCTGGCCTGCTGTCTGGTTCACGACAACTGGGTTAGTTCAGGCAATAGTGAAGCTGGTATCTCCTGAGCAAGTCAGTCCCATGTAGCCTCCCCACGGGCTAATGAGTCAACAAAACCACGGGCTTATACGGTCCTTTCTTTTTAATAAAAGTTTACAAAATACAGCGCCGCCTGCTTGTGTATGCCCCTGAAGTAAAACTCTTGTCTCAGCAGGTGACCGAGGAAGCTCATCCAGCTTGCTTCCAGAACACCCAGTGTGCTCTCCCACCCGCCCTTCTACTCAGAGTAAAGCTTGTTCCCGAGGCTGCTGGGTGAGGGCAGGATCCAACCCAGAGATGGGTAGAACACCCCAGGAAACTGCACGGGGGAGGGCCACGGCCAGGGCATGTTCCTGCAAGTGATAAGTAGCTATCTTCTGACTTCTGAACTCGTGGGTCCAACTGTGAGCCAGGACAGGATCAACAGGCACCTGGTGCCAGCCTACAGTGTTCCCAGAAACTCCATGGAGACTGGCTCTGCCCAAGGGCATTCCTTCTGTACACCCTCTCAGATGTGAGCGCACGTGTTCTACAGTAGTTTGACAGAGGTCCTAGGAAACTAACATGGAACTGGGAAACAGTGCCACAGAAATTCTCAAGTTCTAGTACCAAAGCAAACCAGTAAGAAAATGTAAAATGTCTCATAAAGGTACAAAGTACTGCTTTTAGCAGACGTCGTTATTAAAGAATGCCATTTTCAGGTTGCGTGGAGAAAAGATCTTTTTTTGTGGAATGGTGATATAATGCCCGTTCCCTTGGAGGGGTGTCTTCAGAAACAGGCTGTAGGTAATCAGGCGGCCCTGTCTGCTGCCGGACGTCCCTGAGAGCTGAGAGGAAAGTGGTCATCAGGTATGAGTGTTTGACACTAGAGAGACCTGGAGAGGTACACCGCACACCCCGGAGCCCCTCAGCACTCTCCTCCTTGGTCTGCCTGTGCAGTTCAACCAGAGATACATCCAGTAGAGAGGGCTGAGGACAGAGGCCTCCAGTCTTCCAGCTGCCCCTGGTGGATTTTACAAGTTTCCACCCTCAGAGCTGCTGCTGGGCATTGCCCCAAGTACCATGATGAAGGGTGAACATTCTAAATGTCTTGTTGTTCAAAGGTAACTACAGCCTTCCTTCAGAGGTTTCTGTCCTTCTAAAGAGCTGATGGACAGTCTTCTGGGCCCTCTGGCATCAGGCCCTGTTAGTTTGTAATGATGCCTTTCCTTGAGTGCCACAGAACCTATTATCTGTCCCCATAATACCAGCCAAGGCTGCAGCCCACCTTGGCGGGGTGGCACCACATTGTCCTGATGCCTGTCACTGATGTGTGGTTTTCCACACAGACTCTCAAGATTGTACCCTATCCCATCCTCTCCCTTCCCCTCCTCTCCCCTCCCCTCCCCTCCTCTCCAGACTACAAAGCAGATCCCTGAACACCTCCTCCAGCCACTGCCTTACCATTTTCTCCTGGGCACACACATAGAGCCCTTCCTGAAATGCCTGGTTACTGAGCAGAAGGTCCAGGTCCAGACAGGCCTGCTCTCCCTCCCTGGTAAGAGAGGGGTAGGAACAAGGCCCCTTTCCTATCCACACCTCTACCCTTGCTGGGCCCTGCTGTGATCATCTGATGGGCTGGCTGCAGAAGGACCCCCTCAGCCTGAGAGAAGAGCCACTCCTCAGATCTTGTAAGTGCCCTGCCAACCTCTACCCAACTCAGTGACAGGCATGCTGGCCTCTCACCTCCCATCCCTCTGTCCTTGGGTGCTCTTAGTTAACAGTTCTGGTCCCTAACACACTGGGGACCGGGGCCTCTGGCCATGCTCACCTTGGTCTGAATCAGGGCTTTGCAGCGATGTAGGTGGAAACCACTGACTGCCAGCAGCTCCTCCGGCTTTCTGAAGTCAGACCCTTCCACAGCATGGCCCTGGCCTCCAGAAAGGCTCTACGGAGAGAAACCCGTTACAGCATCACCACGTTCATTTTCAAAGAGCACTAGCCTTGATTCTGGACGACTTGGGTCCCTTGGGGTCAGGCCCTTGCCTCCCTCCCGGCCCCGCCTGCTGCCTGCTGACCATCACGTGGCTCAGGAGCCCCCAGAACTGGGATCCGCCTCAGCCTTCCAGCTGTGGCTTGACTGTGTTTCTAGAAACTGAGGTGATGTGAATGGAATTCCTAAGTCCATATGATAACTGCATTTAGAGGGAAGCTTTGGGGAGTGATTGGGCGCAGAGGAGGTTTTCAGAACGACGTCTCTGTGGTGGCATTAGCATGCCTCGGTGAGCACGGTGGCGAGAGCTAGCATGCCTGCTGGGTCTCACCTCATGCTGCCTAGCCATGTTATAAGGGAGCAAGAAGCCGACGCAGGCACTAGCACCGTGTTTTTGGATGTTCAGCCCCCAGAACTATGACCCACATGAATGTGTAAATGTTATAAACTATCTGGTCACAGGTTGTTGTTCTAGCAGCAGAGAAAGGACTAAGACACTGCTCGACAGAATGTCCTCACGGCCGCTTCACCTCCGGGGAGGACCAATTGCCTGCAGCCTGCAGTCCCCCTGGAGCCTGCTATCAGGGGCCCTGTTTCCCAGCCTCAGATTGAGTTTTTCCTGCATCATAAGGCCAGGCTGACTTCCTAGGTGGGGTGTAGGTGGGCAGGGGCTTGGGAAGTGTTCTTCCCTCCTCCCAGTTCCTCACTCCCTTCCTGACTAGCCTAGTGGCCTTGGGCTGGTAAGGTAACCAGTCCACATTGTTGTCCTCACCAGGGCCAAGCCACCTCCTTCTTGGCTTCTTTAAGTTTCCCTATTTAAAGCTTTGCATACTATTTAAGAACAAAAAGACTTTAGCCACCTGGCCTCTTCTGGCAGGGAGCTTCACTCTGGAAACTCAGGAGCTTACCTCACTTACTTCACTGTGTACAGCTGTCCTCTGGCCACTTCCTGAGCCTTTCTCTCCTGCCACTCTGCCCTGGACGTGGCTGGCTCCTACCTCAGGCATCAGGGTTTCTTCCTGGACCACCATATGTCTAAGGGGCCACCTGGTGGCTTCGACCCTCACCTAAGGGACCTCTCAAGGAAAACACCAAGCCACCGCCATGTTGCTTTATGTGTCTCAAATGTGCCCAATCCCACACAAGCCACGTATTCATATAGAACTTGCCCTCATCCCCTCCCCTGGCCCTACACACACCACCTGTCAGCAGGCACCCACCTCCTGCCCATCCTTCTCCACCTGCTTCTGCTTCCTTTAGCATCTCACCCACAGGGTAGCACTTCCTGGCATTCTGCTGCCGACACAGCAGCCCCTCCTTCCACTAACCCCTGGTCCACATGTACAGTCTCCTCACGCCTGTTGGTGTACACTCCTGTGGGGTCCTCCACACGTCTACAGATAGCATGCTACCCAAGAGAGGCAGGACATCCCTCTGCCCTCACACCATGCTCCAGTCTCATTCTGAGAAATGAGTGATACCAAGACCTTGTGAAAGATGGTCTTCCCAGTGCTGAGAGCAGGCAGGTATCCCTACTACAGAGAGTCTCTGTTCGACACCACCCACCCTGTCCCAAGTGTGTCATGCGAGTGTGGCTGGCACAGTGCAGCGTCTACCTCCCTGTGGCCATTTCTTAAATAGGAAAAGATTCCCACAGGCTCCCATGCTGGGGGCTTGTGGTCAGCTGATGGCTTTTCAGAAGTGATCGGATCTGAGGGCTCCGTATTCCTGCATGGTATTAATCCGCCATGTGTTCATAATCCAACAGCATTATGGAGAAGTGAAGGGAGTTTTAGGGGTAATTCTGGTCTAAGAACGTGCAGCATGGGAGGTGTGTCCTCGAGGGGTACAGCTGGCTTGGATTGCTGTAGTAATGGCTGCCTGTTACTGTTTCTCTGCTTCCTGTCCACTCCGACACCCTTCTGTGACACCCCTCATCTCACCATAGGCCCAGAAACATGGAACCGGCCCACCACAGGGTGAAGCTGCTAAAACGTGAGCCAACATAAATCTTTCTTCTCCAGTTATTTTGCTTGGGCATGTCACCACAGCGAGCAGAACCCGGCTGCCACCCAACCCAAGCCTCCTCACCTTCTGAGCAGCGTCTACACCAAGGACAGGAAGGAGGTTTTCCCGACAGTGAGATTCACTCCAGAGACACCTCGAAGCAGACACGGTGTCGGTGTTCTGAAGGGCTCGCCAGAGTTTCCTAGATTCAGAACTGGGAGAAAGACACAGTCATGACAAGACACTTGAAAGTCTCCAAAGGATCCCTGAGGCTCAGCCCCAGCTCTCTCTTGTTAACCCAGCATTCACTATCAACATGTCCTCCCTCAGATCTGTCCACATGTGCCCTGCCTATGCATCTTCTCAGAGAAGCCCTGAGGCCAGAGTCACTGGTGTTACTCAAGCAAGTGACAGCTGTACTGGCCACAGATTGGATGCTCACAAACTAGGATGCATGCTCAGGAGAATCAGTGAAGAAGCACATACAGGAACGTGAATTGTGGATGTGGGTACTGTGTACTGTAACGTGCCAAATGCTGGTTATCTCCTTCTTCCAAACACTCAAGTGTTTCTGAACATACAAGAGTGTTCCACCCTAAAGTAACACCATGTGTCTACCCTTGCCAAGCCTGACACCTGGGCCACCTTGGGCTGCTAAAGAACTTGTCAGTGGCACAGACACCACCAGCCTGCTGGGGCTCTCCAAGGGCAGCTCTCCCCATAGGCTATGCTTTACAGGAGCACCAGACAGCTGGGCACTGTTGGTCAAAGGCTTTGGGACCCCATGGAGGGTCTTCAGGGCAGGTTCTGGGTTGTCCCTGCATGGTGGTCAAAATAGATATGACAAGAGCCCAGAGTCTGACAAGGTTCTGAAAATGCCCAGGTATGCAGAGAAGCACACCAGCCAGCATTCCTTGGGCCGTGGGTGACAGAGCCTTCTCCCCTACCTTCTCTTCACTCAATGCCTCAAGACAATTTCTCTCTTGTCAGGCCCTTAACATTGTTACTGTCAGTTGAGAGCATGTCCCTACCATGGACAGCCAAACACAACTATGTGTGACTTTTCTCCAGAGGCACAAACAAGACAACCCTGAAGATCAGCGGCTGTTCTTGAGGTGCTTCCTATGATTGTGGCTGAGGGTCAGAGGGTGTCAGGGACCACTGAGCCAAGTCGCCAGCAACAGTCAGAGAGGTCACACCAGGGGCACTACTGGAGTATCCATCTGTGCTGGCAGGCCCCCTGGGATGCTGTGGCCCACAGGTGGCTACAGGGACACTGTACCCTCTGGGAACAACCAGAAAGCTTTGTGAAACCACATTAGCGCACAAGAAATGAAGTCACAGTGTTAACACGTTAGTTGTGTTCTAAGTTCATTACCATAGTCTAGGCACAGGTATGGTTTCTTCGTTGCTTATTTCTAAGAAACGGTCCAGAGAACAAACGTCTTCAGTTGCCTGTTCCACTGGGACTTCTTGAAATGCATGCCTAAAAACCTTCTCATAGCTGACAACGGACTGGAAAGGAAGAACATCCCAATGTTAGGTGCAATGTATATACATTTAGGTAACCTTATTCCAAATGGTCCACTCTAACATACATGTTTGTTTGTTGTCCCTGGTTGGTGTTGCCATCACTGATGACCAATGATGTCGTGCCTCAGAATCTCCAGGCTATGTAAAAACACAGTGAAAAACCACAGGCTTGCAACATCTAAAACTGTGTCGGGGACACGTGGTGAACACCATCCCTGTTTCCCATGTCAAGGGAAGTCTGTGTGAGTGATAGGGGGAAACATACTTCACCGTGGACAGCTTTGGATCAGGTGGGGTGGTGTGGTCAGTCTGAATCAGGTGGTGGCAGAGAGGGGGACTGGCAGGTGTTTAGGTTTCGGGTGAGGGTCACCTGTGCCTGTGGGTGCTGCAGCTCAGCTGGGTGCACTCCCCTACAGTCAGCCAGTGTTTTCTGTAAACTTCCCATCATGCATAGGTGTTTCCTAACACTTCAACCGAAGTGGAGAAAGTGCTCGCTTCAGAACGAATGTTAAGGTTACAGGGGGAGTGGCTCTCACTGGAGGTCTCAATAGCAGGCTACCCAGGCCCCGCCCCCACCCACCCCCCTTTCTTTCTACGTATGCTCATCTGTGTTTGGGGTGAACCACTGGGGAGGAGAATGGCTCAGAGGCAGTCACGGAGGCAAAGGTGTGCTCATCTCTGAGGGCTGTGTGGGATGCTGTGTAAGTCCCCTGATCAAGCCCTCTATTCCCCCTCTTTTTGTTTGTCTTTCAAGACAGGGTTCCTCTATATAGCCCTGGCTGTCCTGGAGCTCGCTCTGTAGATCACCTGGTCTCGAACTTGGAGATCCGCCTGATTCTACCTCTTGAGTGCTGAGATTAAAGGCGGGTGGTACCCCGCTTCCTTGTCCTCCTCTTAAGAAGAGGACAGCCAACCACACAGCAAAAGACAAACTAGGTGAGAAGAGACGACTCCAAGGCTAGCCAGACCTCCGCATCCCCAGTGCGCAGAGGCCTGGGCAAAGTCTAACGGCTATACAAAATACTTCCCACTCAACCACAGAAATACCTCTGAAGATGGGCCAGCAGCAATTCCTGTCACCCAGGGTCCACCCTGCTGCACCTGGCAAGAACCGCCCTCTTTGGGGACTGAAGGGGTTCTCAGCGGCTGACATTCCGCGGCTCTCCGCAGGAGTTCAAAAGATTGAGAAAACTGCTCAGACTTAGCTGAAGACTCCCGGAAGCCTTCGAACTCTCCCCACCCGCCGCTGAGCTCCCCTGGGTGTGGACGGTTGAGAGAGCAGGTGGGAAGACCCTCATCCAGCCTGGAGCTGTTAGCGTTCCCGTCCAGCAGAATCGCGGGACCGTCGTAGCAGATCCTCCTCCGTTCCAAACCATCACCACTCTGTCCTCCAGCTGTCTGGTGGAGGGACCCCTCTCCAGGTTCCTCTGCGAGGTCACTCACTGACTCTCTCCCCACCTCCTGCCCGCCTTGCATCTTGGTGTGGCCAGGCCAGCCGACCCGAAGGAAAGCTGCTCAGAAAACATGCAGCAGCTGAGCTGGAGCTGCCCAGGGCTTCCTGGGAGTGTTCACGTGCCTCTGTGGAGTCGACCCCTCCTGGCACGCGCGGGTGACTAGTCTGGCACGGGGGCGTGTCCTAGGGCCAAACAAGTGAGGCGAAGGAGGGCCTGTGGGTAGACATACGTCCTGGTGGATGAGCAGCAGAACCGAATCTGCGAGGCCGGAGGCTGAGGGCAGGGAGCTCGGGGGATCGCGTCCCAGACGGGAGTCTAGCAGGCTCCGGGGCCAGGTCCGAGGCACAGACAGAGGGAGTCCTGGGCTCCCAGAGGCCCGCAAGGCGCGCACCCACCTTCGCCGCCGCGACGCGCCTCCCGGCGCCAGGCGCGGAGATACCTACAGTCAGCTTAGCCCGCAGCCAGCGCCGCGCGTTGCCCGGCAACGATGCGCGCCCGCAGGCTTCCGGCGTGCTTCAAGTGTCGTCAGCACGCCACCGTGTGGCGTGGCCAACAGCGCCCCGCCCATGCCCATCCTCTCCGGACCGCCAACTTGTGGAGGTGGGGATGCTGGCTGCACTGCAGTGGGACCCAGCCTGCTATCGTGACCGGCCTTTCTGCCTCCCCTCGCCCTACAAATGTCGGTGGGAGCTGTTCTCTTTTTATTATGGCGTCCAGTGCCTGTGTGTCCGATGTGTCCGTCGCACACCTGGCCCGGGAGTAAGTCCACTGCTACGGTGCTGGCCCCTCATCCCACACCTTCCGGTCCTGGTTCCTTGCGCTCCTATTGGATGCTTTCTCAAGACTGGAAGCTATGGGGAAAAGTCTGTCTAGCTGATTTAGTCCAGTTCCAGATCACATTCCCTTGTGGAAGAATGAGCGTCTACTGCCTGCAAAGTAGGAGAGCCACTGTCTTGCCTCATGTGTTCACAATCTCGGCCTGGTCACCAGCCGGTCGGTCCCAAGGCAGAGCAGGGTTAGTCTTGGCAGTTAGACAGGCAGAGTCTCACAGGCTCCTGAAGGACACTGATGAACTAAGCTTGCCCTCTCCCAGCCCCCCAGTCATAGAAATCCTTGGCCCTGAACCCAACTTGGCATGTGAACCCAACTTCAGCCCCTTCAGATTTACTCAGATTTCCCCCTGGACTTCCCTAGGCCCTGCTTTGCCCTTCGTATGAATTATTCAATCCCTCATCTCCTGCCTCCTCAGAAGAACTACTGGAAAATTTGATTTAAAAGTGACAAGATGAGATCATTCTCTGCGTCTTGGACCACAGCCTCCCCCATTCCCCTGGGCAGACGAGCCTGGCACCGTTCTCTGAGCCCTGCAGACAGAGAGCTCAGGACTATGGCTTGGCGCAGCTATTCCCAGGTTTCACAGTGGCCCAGTCGGATGGTGCAGACACCGTCTGTGTTTACAGACACTGGCTTCTGTTTGTCCCAGTACGACCCAGCAGGTCCTGCTCTCTGTCCATTCTCAATGCTCCAGTTCCCCTCACCTACTGCCCTTGCTGATTCTGACGTCCGGGGAGCTGGAAGGATGGGAAGACCGAGGCCTGGGCTCACAGTGGGACACAGTGGGAAAGGACTGGGGTTGCAGCCGGTCTTCCCACCCTTAGTATCTCCCCATGTCTGTCTGGGTTTCGGCTCTGAAGGAAGACTTCAGAACACAGTTCTTGAGTCACAGGCCCATGTTGGGGTGACTTGTGAGAGCAGTGAGCTGAATGACGGTCCCCAAAGATGTCTACATTATGATGTCCAGAAGCCATGAATATGGAACCTTAAAAAAAAAAAAACAAAAAGATGGGTGTTCTGTATGAAACTAAAGAGGCAAGAAAGCTGGGTGTGGTGGTGGCACAGGCCTGGCACACCAGCACTGAGAAAGCTGAGGCAGGAGGATCAAGAAGTTAGAAGCCAGCCTAAGCTACACAGTGAGTCTGAGATTAGCCTGGGCTAAATGGTGAGACCCTGTGTTGAGGGAGGGGGGAAAAGAGAGACGGGTGGAGAGAGGTGTGTGAAAACCCGTGTTGGAGAACAGGAGAGCCGCATCGCATCCCAAGGCCCAGAGCAGCAGCCACTGTGCCAGCACCCCTGATAGGCAGAGTGAGCACATGTCATTAGTGATTTTTTTTGTAGCAAACATGGCAAACCGATAGTCCTGGCTGACCCCTGGGGACCCCACTGAAGAGGCGCTGCCCTGAGGAATGGGCACAGGCAACTCTAACACCGGTGCCTAGTGCTGACTGAAGGAGATCAGACAGCCCAGGTAGGTGGGCAAAGGAGGCAGTGGTTCTTCTTGGATCCGTTAGAGCAGGCGGACTAGAGGGTAGAGGGATCCTAATGAAAGGTGTGAGGAGATGGGCCGAGTCCCAAGTGGCCATGAAGGGGCAGAGCCAGTGTGCCAGGGGAGAGTCCCTCCCTATCTACCCCCTAGTTCTGCCCCGGGGTAGTGCTGCTTTGCCCAAAGCCTACAGTCAACCTGGTGCCTCCCAGGTCACCCGACAATAAGGACTGGTTGAACAGGCTGTCCCAGAAATCACTGGGACCTTCCAGTGAGGTGTGTGTGGGGGGTCACATCCCTGCCTCTGTGCCTGTGGTTTCTGGACAGTAGGGCCAGTCCAGAGCTGCCCCAAGTCCCAGGTTGGCAGGCTTAGTCAATTGCTTTAGGGGCAGCAGGACACCCCAATATGCCCCCACCAACTCCCTCCTTCCCTGACTCCTGCTGTGTTCTGAGCTACATGGACACAGGGATGGGGAGGACCTGGGGGCCATGTCGAGCCCTGACAGGTACTCAGCATTGGGGAAGACGAAGCAGTTAGAGGCTGGGCCCCTCAGCTCTCAGCCCATGGACCTGCAGGCTTGGAACCTGCAGCTGAGGACGGGACTGAAGTAGGCAGGGTGGCTTATGGGAAGAGTGGTCACAGATGCCACCACCTTCTGTATGCTTATGAGCTAGGATTGGGCAGGGCCATGATGATAGCAAAAGTATTTTTGCTATGTCGCTGCGGCTGCTGCAGGATACATCAATCATTGATGCTCTAGGCATCACGGCCAGCTTTCCCGGAGAGGCCGTGGAGAGGCCGTGGAGAGGCCGTGGAGCATCGGGTCATCAGGTGAGCGTGGCCAGAGAGTGAGGTAGCCATGACCGTATCAGGCCTGACCCCTTCGGTACCTCCAACCCCCTGGACCCAGCTTTGGTGGTCGTGGCGGGTGAACATGGAGTGTTACAGAGCTGCACAGCACCCCCTGAGTTGATGTTTAGAAGGGGGCGAGAAGCCTTTGTGTGCTGGCTGTAGCTGTGAATTGGGTTGTTTCCCCACATGCTGGGCAGGGGGTATCAATTCCAGAGCTAGACTTCACTACAGGAGCCTTCCCCAGCAGGGCATCTGTCTCCAGCGGAGAACGTGGGGGATGGACTGGGATACCGGGAACTCCTGGCAGCACATCGCTCTGCAGCAGAAGATGGCCAGGCTATAGAGTGGGGGAAGGGGACAGCAGATGGAACATAGCGGGTTCCCCACCACACACACTTTCCTCTCCTGTTCCTGTTCCCTGTGACCTCCAGGGCTACGTTTAGGCTTCTGAAATATTACTAATGATGGACGAGTCTAACTGGGCCCTGGGAGCTAAGGCTGACTTGCGGCTGGTCCACCCAGATAGGTGCAGCCTGGCCTCTGGGACAAGATTGTCTGAAGGCACACCGAGTAAAGCACGGCCCATGAGGCCCCAGGAGCGCTACTCAGGAGTGAGAGTGTGGCCCCCGTATTCTATTGTACATATCTGTGAATATAAACCTGAGTGTATGCACTCAGTGTGTGTGCCTGTCTGTGTATACTGGGACAAATCCGAGGTGGCCCGTGGTGTGTGTACGGTCTTGTCTTTCTTCTCTGGCTCTTCCACGAGGTGGGAAGCTCTTTAGGCAGATACCCCGAAGTGTCTGTCCTCACACTGTCTGTAGTCTGGCCTCTAGTCTAAGTGGGATCTTCCCGGAGTGTGGCAGCTGGAATCCCCCTTGCCTTGATGGTCAAGCTCCGGTGCTAGACCCCAGCAGAGATGAATCTGCCGACCAGCCCTGAGCCTGGGAGGAAGTAAGAGAAGGGAGAGCCCCTGGGTCCCTACCCTGCATCCTGAGTCTGGGGCCTAAGCCAACTCTGAAACGACTCTCGGGGCTGCAGGTGTGTGCGGTAGTGAGCTGCCTTACCCTTTTCTCAAGCCCTGTCCGGGTAGATGCAGACACTTCTGGTACCTTCTCACTGGGGCAAGGGTATACAGGCCCATTGGAAGCACAAGAGAGCCCCTCGTGTCTCAAGGGGGCCTCGTTACCAAGTGCAGCTCTGCTAAGTATGCTTCCCCTGTACTGACAGTGTCAAGTGGGAAGGTGCAGGCACACCCAGGTATCCCTTACCTAGTACCATCCCCCTGACATGACAACATTAGGCCCGACCCATTTGCCCTTGGGTGGCTTGAATCGCATCCATTTCCCCACAAAGCTAATGGGAACCGCCATATTCCCAGGCGGATCATGCTAAACAAACCGAATACGTCACAGAGTCTGGGACCCCAAGACCACTTTACTTGAACTACATTGCCCAGAGGTAAGGGACACAGCTGGGTTTGCACCCGAAGGTCTTTGGTGATACAAAACTGCACCTTGGCCGGGCGGTGGTGGCGCACACCTTTAATCCCAGCACTTGGGAGGCAGAGGCAGGCGGATTTCTGAGTTCGAGGCCAGCCTGGTCTACAGAGTTCCAGGACAGCCAGGGCTACACAGAAAAACCCTGTCTCGAAAAACAAAACAAAACAAAAAAAACACACAAACAAACAAACAAACTGCACCTTGTTCCTCTCAAGACTCTGAGGCCAGATTCAGACACACTGGATTGGTAGGCCGAGACCTTCCAACCTGCCCAGCAGACACAGGGATGTACCCTGAAACACAGAGACCCAAACACCCAGGGACAAGGCAGTGTTCTTCATCCAGGACATTTCTCCAGGGAGAGGAGACTTGTGTCCCATCAAGTGAGGGCCGTGGCCCATTTGGTGGCAGGAGAAGGCTGCCAGGGCTCCTTCCCAGCAGTGACTCGTATCTGTCTGACCTGCGTGTGACTGGCAGTGTGCCCAGCACTGCAGCCCGACTAACGGGAACTGCTGTTGAGTGAGTGAGTCATGCCGAGACTTCACTGGCTCACCTGGGCCCTGACTTCTGTGGGCAGTTCCCGCTTGTACCTAAGACTGTGCACACTGTGTGCATATGTACATGCATCTGTGGCCGGTTATGCTTATTGTCTGTATATGCAGGTGTGTGTGTGTGTGTGTATGTGTGTGTACCAGGACAAATCCAAGGTGGCCTGAGCTGTGCGTGCTGATGTGACTGTGATTTTGCTCTTGTGTCTGTGCG